CTCATACCTCAGGCCCCATGCCTTACACCTTGCATCCCCTCAGGCAGCGCACTGGCAGAAGCACCACCAGGGGGCGGAGTGTGCTTGCTTTTCACTGCAGTTGCAGCAAGCACCGGCTGTCATGGACCCTTGCTCTTCCTGCATAGCCCATACCCACGCTCCACGCCTGACGCCCCATGCCATGCAGGTGGCCCATTGGTGGCAGCACGAGCAAGGGAGGGGTTGCGCCCGTCTGGCGCAGCAGCTGCAGGGAGCATCGGCTGTCATGGACCTGCCCTTCCCCTTCCTGCATGCCCCATCCCCTATGCACCTCCCCCCTCCCGTCCCGCCACGCCCCATGCATATCCTGTCAGGCGACCCACTGGCAGCAGCACGAGGAAGGGGGGAAATGCGCTCGCCTGGCGTTGCAGCTGCAGTGAGCACCGGCTGTCATGGACCTGCCATTCCCCTTCCATGCGCTATGCCCCACCCCCCATGCCTTATACCCATCCCCCCTTGCATCCCCTCAGGCTTCTCACTGGCAGAAGCACCAGCAAAAGGGGGAGTGCACTGGCCTGGCGCTGCAGCTGCAGGAAGCACCGGCTGTGCTCGACCTGCCCTTCCCATTCCTGCACCAGTCCATCATCCAGGTGCACTGTGGTGCTGTGCAGTGTGGTGCAGTTCGGTGCTGTGCTGTGCTGTGCTGCCCATCATAGCACTCTTGATGAATCACTGTTCACAATGCAACGACCACAACTCCCCACCTGCTTAATCTCCTCGTCTCCCCACTTCCTTCCCCAGTGGCTTTTCCCATGCCTATCATGTGCCTATCATGTGCCTATCATGTGCCTATCATGTGCCTCTCATGTGCCTATCATGTGCTATCATGTGCCTATCATGTGCATATCATGTTCCTCTCATGTGCCTATCATGTGCATATCATGTTCCTCTCATGTGCCATGTGCCCATGTCTGTGTGCTGCATGTGGGGTGCATGTCATGTGCAACGGAGGCTGCTGCAGGTGGAGCAGGGGCGTCACACCATGTGCTCCTTCCTCTCATCCCTCCATCTGCATGCCCGTTCCCTCTCCCACTCTTCCACTCTCCCACCCTCTCCTCCCATCTTCGTCACCCTCTGCCTGTGTGCTGCATGAGGGCTGCAGGTAGAGCAAGGGCGACACACCATGTGCTCCCTCCTTCCATCCAACGTGCATGTCAGGTGCAGATGGCCCGTAAGGCACCCTTTCCTTCTCCCTACCGCTCCCCAACCCTCTCATCCCACCCTCTCATCCCACCCTTTCCAACCTCCCTGCCTGTGTGCTGTATGAGAGCTGCAGGTGGAGCAGGGGCGTCACACCATGTGCTCCTTCCTCTCATCCCTCCATCTGCATGCCCGTGGTCCCTACGCTGCCCTCTGCGGTCCGTAAGCATCCACTTCTTCCTTCCCACGCTTTACCTTCTCCACCCTCTCTCACTTTCTTTACCTCCCCCACTCTCCCACCCTCTCCCACCTTCTCCCACCCTTTCACACCCCCCACCCACTTTCCCACTCTCTCGTTTTCCACCTGTTTCCCACTGTTGTCATCACATCGCCTCTTTTCTGCTTCTCCGTGATTCCTCTTCGTTACCTTTCCGGTGGGTTGTGAGCCTGATTGTCCCCAGCACCTGACCAGCATCGCTCCTCTCCAGATTCCCTCTCGAGATTCTTTCTCATCCAGCTCTCACACTAATGTACAAAGCAAATATTCATTTCCACTAACTTCCTCTCTTTTTTCACACTGCCCTGGCAGGCTGCTCGCCGCTTCCTGACCTGCCATGCGCCCTTGAGGAGGGCCAGCCCGCTCCACTCTCGCCCAGCAGCCCATCAGCCGCCTCCGCCTCTTGTGCTGCATCCCCACCCTCGCCCTCTACTTCCGCACCACTTCATCCCACACCGCCCCCCTCCCTCCCGCCGCCCCCCTTCTCCCCGCTCGCCTGGCGCCACTACTACCTCTGGAGGGGCCTTCCCCTCCACTCGCCCGCTGCAATGCTGCTGCACACGGTATGGGCGTGGGCATGGGCTGACGTGGTTTGTAGGGTAATAGGTTTTGAAACTTTCTTGTTGAATGTCTTGTAATGAAATCGTTCCTTTTCTTTAACGGGTCACTCCTCAAGGCGCATTCATGATCCCTGCCACACTCCCCACCGCATTGCACACTCCACACCGCATTGCACACTCCACACCGCATTGCACACTCCACACCGCATTGCACACTCCACACCGCATTGCACACTCCCCACCGCATTGCACACTCCACACCCTAACACCCCGGCTCAACCCCCTTTCCCCAACCAACCGCTCACCGTCCCCTTCACCCTGCACCTGCACCTCCATCCCTTGCGATTCAACTCAGACTCGCCCTCTCACCCATCTGCCCCCTTTGCTCACCAAATATCTCCCCCCCCCCCTCTCTTCCCCTCCCCAACAGCCGCTTACCATCCTGCTCGCCCTCCACCTGCTCCCCCAGCCTCGCGATTTAACTCAAAAGTCGCTCTCTCACCCATCTGCCCCGCTTGCCCACCTCCCCCTCCCCCCCACCCACCTGCCGCTCACCATCCTGCTCGCCCTCCACCTGCTCCTCCAGCCTGCCCCTTCTCGTAGCTGATGTGCCTTCAGGGGCTTACACTCCCAATGCACCCCCACTCACCCATCTACCCCCCTTTCCCCCCTTCACCAGCCGCTCACCATCTTCCTCGCGCTCCACCTGCTCCTCCAGCCCGCCCCGCCGCCTCCTCCTGTCCCTACCACCATGCAAGCACCGGGCCACACGCCTGCAGCTGAGAGGGAGCAGAAAGGAGTGGATCAGGGCGGACATGCAGAGGGGCAGCAGCAATGCCACCACTGTGGGCTGACCCCTCAGCCCTCCCTTTGCATCCATTTGCTTGGTGCGCATGCATGTGGTTGGTGCGCATGCATGTGGTTGGTGCAACAATCATTCCTCTGTTTCTACGCCACATGTTCCCAACAATCATCCATCTTGCTCTTTTCCCCATCCGCTCCTCTTCCTTCCACGCCCCATACTGGACTCTCTATGCTGCCGGCTGTGTTGTTGCAGCTCCATCATCTCCCCTTTCCCCCCATCTCCATTTGCCTCACCTGCCCTCCCCCATCGGTCGCTGTGCCTCACTCCTTCTTAGACCTCCATCATCTCCTCTGTTCCGACCATCTGTGGTCTAGTCGACTCAAAACACACCTTTTGAGTCGACTCAAGACACACCTTTTGAGTCGACTCAAAACACACCTTTTGAGTCGACTCAAAACACACCTTTTGAGTCGACTCAAGACACACCTTTTGAGTCGACTCAAACCTCATCGGCTGCTGTGCCTCACTCCTTAGAGCTCCATCATCTCCTCTGTCTCAACAATCTTTGAGGAGCCTCAAAACTCCTCACTCCTTGTTTGAGGCGCCTCAAAACTCCTCACTCCTTGTTTGAGGCGCCTCAAAACTCCTCACTCCTTGTTTGAGGCGCCTCAAAACTCCTCACTCCTTGTTTGAGGCGCCTCAAAACTCCTCACTCCTTGTTTGAGGCGCCTCAAAACTCCTCACTCCTTGTTTGAGGCGCCTCAAAACTCCTCACTCCTTGTTTTGAGGCGCCTCAAAACTCCTCACTCCTTGTTTGAGGCGCCTCAAAACTCCTCAACAATCTTTGAGGAGCCTCAAAACTCCTCACTCCTTGTTTGAGGCGCCTCAAAACTCCTCACTCCTTGTTTGAGGCGCCTCAAAACTCCTCACTCCTTGTTTGAGGCGCCTCAAAACTCCTCACTCCTTGTTTGAGGCGCCTCAAAACTTCTCACTCCTTGTTTGAGGCGCCTCAAAACTCCTCACTCCTTGTTTGAGGCGCCTCAAAACTCCTCACTCCTTGTTTGAGGCGCCTCAAAACTCCTCACTCCTTGTTTGAGGCGCCTCAAAACTCCTCACTCCTTGTTTGAGGCGCCTCAAAACTCCTCACTCCTTGTTTGAGGCACCTAAAAAATCCTCACTCCTTGTTTGAGGCACCTAAAAAATCCTCACTCCTTAGAGCTCCATCGTCTCCTCTGTCTCGACCATCTCCATTCGTGTAATGGGTCTGTTTTTAAGTCGACGCATAAACACACTCCTTAGAGCTCCATCATCTCCCCTTTGGCCCTCCATCGTCTCCTCTGTCTCCACCATCTCCGTTCGTACCAGCTGCCCTCCCTTGTTGGTTGCCTTGCCTCACTCTGTGAGACTTCTATGCATTCTCGCACATGGGTGCATGTGACTTCACAACCCCACTGCATGGCAAACATGCCGGCAGGCAAACAGGCAGACATGCAAACAGGCAGGCAGGCAGGCAGGCAGGCAAGCAGGCAGGCAGGCAGGCAGGCAAGCAGGCAGGCAGGCAGGCAGGCAGACAGGCAGGCAGGCAGGCAAACATGCAGGCACGCACGCTCGTAGTCAATCAGATAGGCGTGCAGGCAAGCAGATACGCAGGCAGGCCTCAATCTAAATATTGCATACATCGCATGTCAGCTCAGGTTATTGAGGAAAGCGTCTCGAAAGGGTGTAGCACTCGAATCTGTTGCACGCTGGTCAGGTTATTGAGGAGAGGGTGTTGGAAAGACACTGGAAGGAATTGGAGCCCAGTGCTTGCAGAAAAGGTGCAAAAATATTGCTCTGGGGAGGAGAGCTGACATGGCTTGTAGCATCTATGCCTGGTCAAAACATAGCTTGCCAAAAGTGGCTTCGCCCGGACTTGATCCGGAGACCTTCAGTGTGTTAGACTGACGTGATAACCAACTACACCACGAAACCGATGTCAAATGAGATAGACAGTCCTATTTATTGTCAGTTATCCTCCACCCCAACCTTGTTTCACCCAACACCTCCGCCCTGGCATGCCTCTCACCATGCACTGCCCCCCACCACACACACTGTTTCCCGTCGTGTCTATAACCGTGTTTCTCACCACACACTGCACCTGCAGGGGCGGACAGGGAGGCTCAAGAAGCGGCCTGGTGGAATGCCTCCCACCACACACGCTCTCTCCCTCTCACCACGCACAGCACCCACAGGGGCGGACAAGGAAGCTCAAGAGGCAGCCGCACTGGCAGAGCTGCAAGTGCTGCTGCCTGGAGTGGACACGTGTGTGCACCTCATTGGCCCTAGCATACCTGCACACATGTGAGAGTGAAACCCAGCTCTGGATCTCAATAGTGACGTTTAAGGGGAGTGCCTTGGGGGGAGAGCCCTGAGGGGAGTGCTGAGGGGAGTGCATTAAGGGAAGACATGTGGTGCATGTATGGTCGTCCTTTCAACTTCTTGCTTCATCCACAGCCCAGTCAGTGTGGGTTCACTCCGTGCGCCATACACATGTATGCCCGCGTGCTTGCTCCACGTGTCCCCCATCCTCTTGCTCTAACTCCTCATCCTCACATGCTCTATCATACCCGCTGCCCCCGCACACACCTCCTCTGCAGGGATGGCAAACGAATTTCTCTTCAGCATCCTCCAGTCTTTGAGTCCTGTGAGCCACAACCTGCTGAACCACAACCTGCCGAACCACAACCTGCCGAACCACAACCTGCCGAACCACAACCTGCCAAACCACAACCTGCCGTGCCACAACCTTCGGAGCCACAACCTGTCAATCCACAACCTGCTGAACCACAACCTTCCGAGCCACAACTCGCCAAATCACAAAGTACCGAGCCACAACCTGCGGAGCCACAACCTTCCGAACTACAACCTGCCAAACTGCAACTGTCCGAACCACAATTCGCCGAGCCACAACCCCCGGAAGCAGCAGGCGTGGCAGCAGGCGGTTCAGCAGGCGGTGCAGCAGGCGGTGCAGCAGGCGTGGCAGCAGCAGGAGCAGCAGCAGCAGCAGGCGTGGCAGTGCACTTCCACCGAGGCCTCTACCACCACGTGCTGCCCTCCCTTGCCTGCTCGCCTCTCGCCACCACTCCCTCCGCTGCGCTCGCCACTCCCCCAACAACTACTCTCGTCACCCCTCCCACCACCACTGTAGTGTGCCTCCGCACCTCACTGCACCACTCGCAGCACCCATCCCCTCTTCATCACAGCGACCAGCCCCAACAGCCTTCCCATTTCCACCAGTCATCTCATCCGCAGCACCCGTCCTGCCACCCGTCCTGCCACCCGTCCTGCCACCCGTCCTGCCACCCGTCCTGCCACCCTCAGCACCACCCGTCTCCTCTCCCTCACAGCGACCAGCCTCACCAGCCCTCCCAGCCCCAGCAGCCGTCCCATCCACAGCACCAGTCGTCCCATCCGCAGCACTCGTCCTGCCACTGCCCCGCGCTGCTCTTCCTTCCCAACGCGGGCCTGCCCGCCTTCCTCTCCTGGCGAGATACGCTGGTGAGTGGGAGAATAAGAGAGAGGGAGAGGGGCTGGGTGGATTAGATGCACGGTTAGTTATGGACGGAGGGGCAAGGGGGAGAGGCAGGCAGCCTGCTGATCGCGTCAAGTGTAGAATCCAAGTGTCTGCTGACACTTGATGCATTATAGACGGGACGATCGTGATGGTGAGTGGGAGGTGGTGAGTGGAAGCAGAAGTGGGATGTGGAAGGAGGAAAAACAGGTGAGGCGGCACATGGTGCATCACCACCCTGCCGCCTCCTCCTCTCCCCCGCGCGGTCCTCATGCTGTGTGGTGGGCTGCCAGCGCGGGGCACGGACTTCAGCCACAAGGCAGCAGAGAGCCAGGGAGCCTGCCCTGCCCCTCATGCTGCCCGTCCTTCTTCTTCCCCCTGTCAGGTCCTCATGCTACAGCACGGGCTCCCAGCGCTCATCACGGACTAAAGCTGCGAGGCAGGGGAGAGAGCCCGGGAGGCGCTCTGCTCGCTGGCTGCTGAGGTGCCAATGGACCCTCATGCCTTTCCCCCCCAACCCCGATCAGGTCCTTATACTGCAGCTCGGAATACCAGCACTCATCACGGACTACAGCCACGAGGCAGCAGAGAGGGCTCGGGAGGCACTCTGCTCGCTGGCTGCTGAGGTGCAACGCGGCGGCGCAGAAAGGGCTGTGCGAGGGAGTGGCAAGGAAGGGGCTGCAGCGGCCGCAGTGCTGCACCCTATCATCACTGAGGTGGGGCGGACATCAAGGGGAAGCGTTGAATATAGCTTTGAATGGGGAGGGAATGGCAAGGGGTGTGTCACAGCTTTGGGAAGGGAAGTTTGGTTGGATGGGACCTTTGCCAAAACTAATGGCCCCCACCAATAAGCTGGGCTGGAAAATTTTTGGGCGGCCCTCAACAGTCTTGGTAAACAGTGGGTCAAGATTATGGGCGGTCCACTAGCCTCCCAACCCCCTTGGGGACCAGGTTATAAGGTCAAGGCTGGTTTCCTAGCCCCAACTCGGGTATCTCCTGGCTCTATACCCAAACTAGGTTTTGCTGCTCAACTCTATCCAGGCAATACACCATACAAGATGATTGAGATTCTAACTAACGTGTCGTGAAATAATGGCAAACAGCCAATTTGTGGTTCATGTTCTCAGTCCCTCACCACACCTCCCGCCCTTCACCACTCCTCACATCACACTGCCCCTCCGGGCCCTGATCTTCTCTCACAGCCCTTCTTATCGTCCCTCACTGCACCTCACTGCTCTCGCCACCCCTCCCAATCTTCCCGATCCTCCCCATTCCCCTCCACTCGTCTTACCTCCTGGCAGGTGCGGGTGAACCCCTTCCGCATGCCCTTCGCCCATCCCATGGCCAGCCTCGCCCTGCCCTCCCTACCCAACTGTTTCTACTTCACTCTCTCCTTCCCCACCACACCCACTGGTGCTCATGCACGCGCTAAAGAGATGAGTGCATGACCACTGCATGCTTACTGCTGCCCTCCCTGCCCAACGGCTTTGACTTCACTCTCAACTGCCCTCCCTGCCCAACTGCACCCGCTAGTGTTGATGCATGCGCTGCAGAGATGAGTGCATGAGCAGGTGCCATGGCAGCTGTGAAATGAACTGTCAAAATATTGTTCTCCTTCTTTCACTCGTCAAGCGTTCATCGAACGCATTGACCTTCTGTACCATCAAATACTTCAGCCATTTTTTGTAGGGCCGTACCAACCAAGCATGATTATCCGGAATTATTTTGTGATAATGCTCTTGCCCAGACCAAGGGGCGGCGGGCTATATGACACGGTCATGAATTGCTGGATGAACTTGGCAGGCCACAAGTTATGGACTTAGGCCAACATTATGCTATGCTGATGGATCAGCCCTGGTCTTACAGGAGAGCGTGGATATGAGACAGCCGGTACCGCACCCTCTGATATTATAAAGGTACCTAATCAGTCTCATCAAACGAGATCTCGCATGACAAAAATGTACGGATTCACAGCCATCAACCACAACAATCCTATATTTTGAGGGCCCCATAGTTTTCGTCATAGGGAGAGGGTTTATCTACAGGTGGTCAACTTAGGTGACAGAAATTAATGATCATAATACTATCATACTGTCAAATCTACAGTGCTAAACAGGGAGGTCGGTCCGCTACAGTTCACTATGTACATTCCTGCCACCCACTGCTGCACTGCACCAGTTGAGCTGGTTAAGGCTAGCCACAACAGCAAGAGGCTGAAGACGACGGTTAATCGACAAAGTTGTCCCAGTGAACCTGCCTGCTCAGCCAGACGCAGACATGACTAAGCTGCTATACGCTGCTTGCATAGAGTCTTTCTCCAAGGTAGGCAGCAACGAGGGTGACATCTCGCGGGGCCCACTTCACCACGCGGGTATATCCCCCTTCTCCTCACCTCACAATGCCGCCCACCCTTTATTCCCTCTCCCCCCCCCCCCCACCAGCCTCACCGCCAACCATGGCCACCGCTGCGGCAAGCTGTCTCAAACGCCACGGTGCCTACCAAAGCAGCACCAAGCAGCAGGTGCCTTTCTTCTGAAGCAGCCTGAAAAGGAGTGACTGTCCATTCACCACCTTGCCTCCAACTTCCCCCCCCTCTAGAACTGCTTCTTCGGCCGCTGGGACCGCCGAGGGCGAAGGTTGATCCCACTCGGATGAGGCGACGCCTCCCCCACCACTGTGGCTGCTGCCACGTCATCCACTTGGTCTGGTGCCACGTCATCAAACCCACTTGCAACCCCAGCTGGCAGCAGAGCAGATGGAGGCAGAGCGCCGAGCAGCATGGCAGGTGGTGGTGCTGCTGATGCCTGCCTTGCTTGGCTGTTTGAGGGGCTCAACGCTCTGGCTAGGCCCGCCAGCTGCTTGCTTCCCCACCACCCGCTGCCCCCACCTCGCCCTGTGCCACCACTACCAGCACTGCCTGCAGTGGCAACTGCGGCAGCTGCAGAAGCAGCTGCACGCTCATCTGTTGCTGGTCCTGTGCTGAACTCCCTCTCCGCATCCACCATCTCAAACTCACTGCTCGCCCCACTCCCACCACTCCCACCGCTCGCCCCATTGCTCTCCCCACTGTCCCCATCCGAATCCGAGTCAACATTCCTGTACCGCACTGCCTGCCTCTGCACTCCCTGCCTCTGCTCGCTCCCCTGCTGCAACCTCTGCTCCTCCGCCTCTGCTCTCCGCCCATCATAGGCTGTGCCCTCAGCTTCGTCCCCCTGCAGCCGCCTCTCATATCTCGAATTCTGCACTCCCCTGTCAGCAACAGCCGACCTCAGCTGCACTGCTTCCCCTCCGTATTGCTGCAGATACTTCCTCCTTCCCCTCACCTCCTCCTGCTGCTTCTCCTCGCCTCCCTTCCTCCCCCCTGCTTCATCCACCCTCTCACTCCTCAATACCTCAACTTCTCTCTCCCTCCTCTCCCTTTCCTCCCGCCTTTCACTCCCCTCCAGCCCTCGCAGCGCTGCTGACGCAGCAGCCTGTGCTGACAGGGACGCCAGGTAAGCAATGAGCTCCTCAAATCGAGCACCAGTGTATGCCACGCCAGCACGCCAGCAATCCACAGCCATGTCCCTTCCCCGCTCCTCCAGGTGTGTCAGGTGGCGGTCAATGATTGGCTCGTGGCGAGACAGCAGAGGTTGCAGCATGGACCCATACACAATCTCTGTGCCCTGAGAAAGGGCGGGGCGAGGCAAGGAAGGGCGGGTGGGGCGAGCGAGGGTTAGAAGACAGTGTGAGCTGAGTAGGGAAGCACGAGCGAGGAGTGGAAGAGGACCAGGTTGGAGGAGAAGGAGCAGGCAAACATAACCAGGCGAACTGGCGAACGAGACAGAGGGAGATGAAGACGACATCAGATATGCACGCAGGTCAGGACAACGGCACCTGTGGACGAGACTGGACAGTTCGGGACAGGGCCAGGTGCACACTCGCAATGGGGAAGGGGGAAACACAGAATGGCCATGCATCGAGTTGCTAAACTATATGCCTGCCTCGTAGCGACTGACCCGGTGCAGCCTCACACCTGCCCCACAACCACTGCATACAGTCACAGCCACTGACCTGCGTGCGGGGGTGCCAGAGGTAGACGATGAAGGCGAGCCTGGCCTCGTGGTACAGCGGTACCCTGGTGGGGGATACACAGGCGAGCATGACAGCACAGCAGCACGTGATTGACGTTCGACTCACATGCGTCAATGTCACATGCCTTACTGTCACATGCCTGTCGCACGTCCCAATGGATTGTTTCAATTGACCCAGTGAGGGGAATCGAAGCGGCGTGAGCACTCACCAGTCCTGCAGCGGCGAGGCGAGGCCCTCGAGAAGGGCTAGCAGCGACAGCAGCACCCTGCGGGGAGAAGGGCGATGGGGGCCAAGTAGCAAGGGAGAGATGGGTGCGGGAGCGCTGGGAGGTGAAGGCGTGCTGAGGAGAAAGCAAGGACGGGAGGAGCGACAAGCTAACACGATCAGTTAAACTTTACGAATGCAGACACACCGACATTTGCTAGTTGAAGGACAGTGCAGGCGGGCGAAGGGGCGTGAGGATGAATGACGGATGATGGAGAGGGCGAGGGAAGGTGCGACGCGAGGGGAAGGCGAGGTGTAGCGCGATGGGAAGGCGCGGGGAGGGGAAGGCGGAGTGTCGCACGGACCAGAACTGGCAGAAGAAGAGGAGCTCGTGCAGGTCGGGTCGGCGTCGCTGCATGGCCTTGAAGCAGCGGTAGGCTGGATACCCGTGCGCCACCACCATGCTGCGAGGGGCGAGCGAGAGAGAATGAAGGAATCAAAGAGAAGGGAAGCAAAGAAAGAAAGAAAGAAAAAAAGACTTCGGCGTGATATGGTAAGAGTGCGAATTTCACGCTGGGACAGGACGAGCAGTGGGAGAGGGGTTGATGGTCAAGCAGGCAACCCTCAAGCCCCGAGTATGCAGGTTACTGGATCGCAAGGCCATTATCGAAAGGGCTACAATTGAATGTGACGCCGTCAAGAAGAGCCTAGAGTTGGCGGATGTAAGGGACAAGCCCGTATTGGAAAATCGATTCATTGAAGGCATGTTTCAACGCCTCCACTGAAAGGCATGTTTCGACGCCTGAACGCAGGCGAGAAGCTTCCAGCTATGAATTGTTTGTTTTCTGAAGTTCGCGTCAGCGACAACTGTCTCCGCTTCTAAAGAAGCTGGCAACTGCGGCAAAAACAACGAAGTTGATAGGCGATGGTGGTAGTCAGGCTCGGCAGCGGAACGCGGTGTCGGTCAAGGCTCGATTCGCTTACGTGGCGGCTGTGAGAAGTGGTCTCGGCAACATGTTGCGCGACGATAGCGACGAAGCAACACACGATGAACGGAGTGAACTGAAGCTAAGAATCACTCTACTAAACGTGGTCAAGAGCGTGAAGCTAGCGCTATTAGTAACGTAACCTTACTGGAATAGTCTCTAATGCATAAACTCAGCGACAGAACACGCGAGAATCTGGATAGGTCTAGGAAGGAACGGAGACTGCTGCTGCCTCAAGTAGCAGAAGGGGTGGCTGAACCGAACGGGTGCACAGCGCGACCTCAAGTTCGTTCAGCGCAACTCCACACCCGCGCAGATCATGTCTAGGGTTGTTGGAGGCGGAACCCGCTCCGCTGCACTGCGGCGGAACAGAAAATTCCGCGGGAACCTTAATTATAAAGCGGAGTCGAGGGCAAGCGCCTCGAGAACCCAATTGGCGGGAAAAGCAACGGTTGCAAATATCTCCGTAACAAGAAAGCGTGTAATAAAATATAGAATCCTTACTAGTGTAAAGAGTTCATAATATCCTTACCTAGCACCTGATCTCGATGCGTACAACATTATACATCGGGCCTCGACCTTTCTTCGCCCATTACTGACCCCGAGTTTTTTTTTTTAAATGTGCGGTATATTTCCAAACCATGCAAAACTGTATAAAGCCGAGCCGACCTACACTTTTGGGCGCATACCCTGCTTAGCCTAGCTCGCATCTGGGCGAAACCGTTGGTAATTTTCTCCACTTAGTATTCGCTCAGCATGGTTGGTAAACATGTTAGTGTAAACGATCAGCATGATACGGTACTGCATGTTTGCCTCTTGCACACTTCGTGATAAACGATTTTTTAAAACTCTAAATTTCATGGCCGCCAGGTCCCTCTTGGTTTTGGGGCAGGCAGGAAAATCCAACCCTTCTGGCAACTTTTGGCACATCATACAATGCGTGTCGGACAAGCGCTCATTCGGTTTAGATAATTAGCCTTCTTACTGGAAACAAAAGCTGAAATAACAATTTCAAAATTAGGGCGTTACTCATTAGTCTACTACCACATTATACGGTTGCATGCCGAGCAAATGTAACATACTTAACATTTTCTCTGTCAGTCCACAGCAACCCGTGCTGAGAGAATAGGGAGAGTCCGAGATAGTTGGGGTTGCACAAGGATGTAGGGCAACAAACACGCCTGCCTACACTCATGGCAGCTGCTCTTGCACTCACCTCTGTAGCGCATGCATAGGCATTAGCATTGGTACAGGCGGGCACAGTGGGGAGTGTGAGAGTGAAGTAGAAGCAGCTGGGCAGGGACGGCAGCAGCACTAAGCATGCAGGTGGTCATGCACTGACCTCTACAACACATGCATGCACATCAACACCAGTGGGAGTAACGCGGAAGGAGAGAGTGAATTAGAAGCAGTTGGGCAGGGACGGCGGCAGCACTAAGCATGCATGTGGTCATGCACTCACCTCTACAACACATGCATGCACATCAGCACCAGTGGGAGTAACGCGGAAGGAGAGAGTGAATTAGAAGCAGTTGGGCAGGGACGGCGGCAGCACTAAGCATGCATGTGGTCATGCACTCACCTCTACAACACATGCATGCACATCAGCACCAGTGGGAGTAACGCGGAAGGAGAGAGTGAATTAGAAGCAGTTGGGCAGGGACGGCGGCAGCACTAAGCATGCATGTGGTCATGCACTCACCTCTACAACACATGCATGCACATCAACACCAGTGGGAGTAACGCGGAAGGAGAGAGTGAATTAGAAGCAGTTGGGCAGGGACGGCGGCAGCACTAAGCATGCATGTGGTCATGCACTCACCTCTACAACACATGCATGCACATCAGCACCAGTGGGAGTAACGCGGAAGGAGAGAGTGAATTAGAAGCAGTTGGGCAGGGACGGCGGCAGCACTAAGCATGCATGTGGTCATGCACTCACCTCTACAACACATGCATGCACATCAACACCAGTGGGAGTAACGCGGAAGGAGAGAGTGAATTAGAAGCAGTTGGGCAGGGACGGCGGCAGCACTAAGCATGCATGTGGTCATGCACTCACCTCTACAACACATGCATGCACATCAGCACCAGTGGGAGTAACGCGGAAGGAGAGAGTGAAGTAGAAGCAGTTGGGCAGGGACGGCGGCAGCACTAAGCATGCATGTGGTCATGCACTCACCTCTACAACACATGCATGCACATCAGCACCAGTGGGAGTAACGCGGAAGGAGAGAGTGAATTAGAAGCAGTTGGGCAGGGACGGCGGCAGCACTAAGCATGCATGTGGTCATGCACTCACCTCTACAACACATGCATGCACATCAACACCAGTGGGAGTAACGCGGAAGGAGAGAGTGAATTAGAAGCAGTTGGGCAGGGACGGCGGCAGCACTAAGCATGCATGTGGTCATGCACTCACCTCTACAACACATGCATGCACATCAGCACCAGTGGGAGTAACGCGGAAGGAGAGAGTGAAGTAGAAGCAGTTGGGCAGGGAGGGCAGGGTGAGACTGGCCATGAGATGGGCGAAGGGCATGCGGAAGGGGTTCAGATGTAACAGAAAAGGGGAGTGGAGCAAGGGGAGAGGGGAGAGGGGAGAGGGGCAATGTGAGGATTACAGAGCGGCAACAGAAAAGGTGGCGAGCAGGGCTGACATTTCAGAAGAAAAGCACTCTGAAGGGGAGGGCAAACATAACCGACTTGTTTGAAGTTCATTCTGCAGGGTTTGACTCGTCTGAGTGTTTAAGTAAAAGCTGTCTGAAGATTCAACGGTGGAGGGGCCACGGCAATTAAAAGGGAGAAAGTGAGATTTCTTAGGGAGAGAGTGACGAGAGAAAAACGTGTGACATAGCTGGGGCTGCGTTACCAACCTTGTCTTCATAGTTTGGCCACCAAGGGGGTTGGGAAATTAGTGGAAACCCCATAATCTTGGCTCAATGTTTACCAAGTTTATTGAGACCTCTCAACAATTTCCCGACCCAGCTTATTGGTGAGGGCCAATTTCCCCACACAACCCACCTTCCCTTCTCACAGCTGTGTATACCCCTTCCCATTCGCTGGCCTTCTCAACGGTTCTCCTTCTAGTCCTCCCTCCTCGAAGGCCCCCCTACCTCGCTGATGACAGGTTGCAGTACCGCGCCCACTGCAGCCTCCCTTTCGCCGCCCCCTCGCGCCGCCCCTCCCTCCCTCCCTGCACCTTTGCATGTCGACAGCCAGTGAGCAGAGCGCCTCCCTGGCCATCGCTGCTGTCTCGTGGCTGTAATTCGTCATTAACGTGGGCAGCCCCCTGCACAGAATGAGGACCTGGCAAGGGGCAGACTGGGGGGCAGCATGAGGTGGTGCAGAGCTGTGGGTGGTGCAACCCTCCTTTGCTCATGGAATGAGGCACATCCCGGGCTCTCTCTACTGCCTCGCAGCTGTAGTCCGTGATCAGTGCTGGGAGCCCACTGCGCAGCATGAGGACCTGGCAGGGGGCAGGCAAAGGGCAGAGGGGGCTGACGGGGGGGGCAGCACGAGGTGGAGCAGAGGAGCGCGGGTGGCGCAACCCCCCTCTTTCTCATGCCTTGAGGCGCCTCCCTGCCTCCCTGGCTCAGTGTGCTGCATTATGGCTGAACCAAAGCCTGTGATGAGTGCCTGTGATGAGTGCTGGCTGGCAGCCCACAGCACAGCATGAGGGTCTGGCAAGGGGCAGACTGGGGGGGCAGCATGAGTTGGTGCAGAGAAGTGGGTGGTGCAACCCCCCTCTTCCTCATGGCACGAGGCGGCGCCTCCTCGCCTTCCTTTGTCACTGTGCTGCCTCGTGTATGAAGCCTGGCTGGCAGCCCAGTGCGGAGCATGAGGACCTGGTGGTGGGAGGCAGAGAGAGAAGACGAGGCAGCACGATGATGGAGCGGAGTGGTGCAGACCCCAGCCATGCCTCGTGGCGCCTCCCCTATCCCAATCTCACTCTGCTGACTCGTGGCTGCAGTCCGTGACCAGTGGTGTGCATCGCATGCTGCAGCATGAGGACCTGGTGGGAGGCAGAGGGACGCGGCAGCAGGATGGTGTGGTGACAGGGAGGTAAAGGAAAGGAGCGGGTGGTGCAAACACCAGATATCTCATCTAACAATCCATTGCCGTCTTGCAGGCATGGCGCGCGCGCGGGGGGGGGGGGGGGGGGGGGGGGGGGGGCTACGCACGGTGATGGTGACACTCGATGCATTCACGCGCCTGCCTCATCCCCTTGACCTCCTTCCACAACTAGACGTGCATCCCACCCAACAAGCCCCACTCCCTCCCTCTTCTCCTGCTCCCACTCACCAGCGTGTCTCGCCAGGAGGGGAAGGCAGGCAGACCCGCATTGGGTAGGAACAGTAGTGCGGGACAGTGGCAGGACGGGTGCTGCAGATGAGATGAGTGGTGGAGATGGGAGGGCTGCTGGGGCTGGTCGCTGTGAGGGAGGGGAGATGGGTGCTGAGAGTGGTGCAGTGAGGTGCGGGGGCACACTGCAGTGGTGGTGGGGGGGGTGGCGAGTGCAAGGGAGGGCAGCACTGCAAGGGAGGGCAGCACTGCAAGGGAGGGCAGCACTGCAAGGGAGGGCAGCACTGCAAGGGAGGGCAGCACTGCAAGGGAGGGCAGCACTGCAAGGGAGGGCAGCACTGCAAGGGAGGGCAGCACTGCAAGGGAGGGCAGCACTGCAAGGGAGGGCAGCACTGCAAGGGAGGGCAGCACTGCAAGGGAGGGCAGCACTGCAAGGGAGGGCAGCACTGCAAGGGAGGGCAGCACTGCAAGGGAGGGCAGCACTGCAAGGGAGGGCAGCACTGCAAGGGAGGGCAGCACTGCAAGGGAGGGCAGCACTGCAAGGGAGGGCAGCACTGCAAGGGAGGGCAGCACTGCAAGGGAGGGCAGCACTGCAAGGGAGGGCAGCACTGCAAGGGAGGGCAGCACTGCAAGGGAGGGCAGCACTGCAAGGGAGGGCAGCACTGCAAGGGAGGGCAGCACTGCAAGGGAGGGCAGCACTGCAAGGGAGGGCAGCACTGCAAGGGAGGGCAGCACTGCAAGGGAGGGCAGCACTGCAAGGGAGGGCAGCACTGCAAGGGAGGGCAGCACTGCAAGGGAGGGCAGCACTGCAAGGGAGGGCAGCACTGCAAGGGAGGGCAGCACTGCAAGGGAGGGCAGCACTGCAAGGGAGGGCAGCACTGCAAGGGAGGGCAGCACTGCAAGGGAGGGCAGCACTGCAAGGGAGGGCAGCACTGCAAGGGAGGGCAGCACTGCAAGGGAGGGCAGCACTGCAAGGGAGGGCAGCACTGCAAGGGAGGGCAGCACTGCAAGGGAGGGCAGCACTGCAAGGGAGGGCAGCACTGCAAGGGAGGGCAGCACTGCAAGGGAGGGCAGCACTGCAAGGGAGGGCAGCACTGCAAGGGAGGGCAGCACTGCAAGGGAGGGCAGCACTGCAAGGGAGGGCAGCACTGCAAGGGAGGGCAGCACTGCAAGGGAGGGCAGCACTGCAAGGGAGGGCAGCACTGCAAGGGAGGGCAGCACTGCAAGGGAGGGCAGCACTGCAAGGGAGGGCAGCACTGCAAGGGAGGGCAGCACTGCAAGGGAGGGCAGCACTGCAAGGGAGGGCAGCACTGCAAGGGAGGGCAGCACTGCAAGGGAGGGCAGCACTGCAAGGGAGGGCAGCACTGCAAGGGAGGGCAGCACTGCAAGGGAGGGCAGCACTGCAAGGGAGGGCAGCACTGCAAGGGAGGGCAGCACTGCAAGGGAGGGCAGCACTGCAAGGGAGGGCAGCACTGCAAGGGAGGGCAGCACTGCAAGGGAGGGCAGCACTGCAAGGGAGGGCAGCACTGCAAGGGAGGGCAGCACTGCAAGGGAGGGCAGCACTGCAAGGGAGGGCAGCACTGCAAGGGAGGGCAGCACTGCAAGGGAGGGCAGCACTGCAAGGGAGGGCAGCACTGCAAGGGAGGGCAGCACTGCAAGGGAGGGCAGCACTGCAAGGGAGGGCAGCACTGCAAGGGAGGGCAGCACTGCAAGGGAGGGCAGCACTGCAAGGGAGGGCAGCACTGCAAGGGAGGGCAGCACTGCAAGGGAGGGCAGCACTGCAAGGGAGGGCAGCACTGCAAGGGAGGGCAGCACTGCAAGGGAGGGCAGCACTGCAAGGGAGGGCAGCACTGCAAGGGAGGGCAGCACTGCAAGGGAGGGCAGCACTGCAATTGAGGGCAGCACTGCAAGGGAGGGCAGCACTGCAAGGGAGGGCAGCACTGCAAGGGAGGGCAGCACTGCAAGGGAGGGCAGCACTGCAAGGGAGGGCAGCACTGCAAGGGAGGGCAGCACTGCAAGGGAGGGCAGCACTGCAAGGGAGGGCAGCACTGCAAGGGAGGGCAGCACTGCAAGGGAGGGCAGCACTGCAAGGGAGGGCAGCACTGCAAGGGAGGGCAGCACTGCAAGGGAGGGCAGCACTGCAAGGGAGGGCAGCACTGCAACTGCAAGGGTGGTGGAGGCCTCGGTGGAAGTGCACTGCCACGCCTGTTGCACCGCCTGCTGATTCTGGTGGTTGTGGCTCGGAAGATTGTGGTCCGGCAGGTTGTGATTCACCAGGTTGTGGTTCGGCAGGTTGTGATTCACCAGGTTGTGGTTCGGCAGGTTGTGATTCACCAGGTTGTGGTTCGGCAGGTTGTGATTCACCAGGTTGTGGTTCGGCAGGTTGTGATTCACCAGGTTGTGGTTCGGCAGGTTGTGATTCACCAGGTTGTGGTTCGGCAGGTTGTGATTCACCAGGTTGTGGTTCGGCAGGTTGTGATTCACCAGGTTGTGGTTCGGCAGGTTGTGATTCACCAGGTTGTGGTTCGGCAGGTTGTGATTCACCAGGTTGTGGTTCGGCATGTTGTGATTCACCAGGTTGTGGTCCGGCATGGTGTGGTGTGCAGGGCTCAAAGACGGGAGGATGCTGAAGGAGAATGCGCTTGCCGTGCCTGCAGAGGGGGTGCCGTGTGGGGGCAGCGGGAATGAGAGAGCATGTGGGGATGCAAAAGAGTGGCAAGGTGATGGGTGGCACGTGGGGCATACAGGGGTTTGGCGCAGGAGTGAGCCTACAGTGATTGGGCAGTGGATGAAGCAAGACAAAGACAGGTGATGTGATGGATGGCACATGGAGGAAGGGACAGCCACACATGCACTGCATGTCTCCCTCCAATGCTCTCCCCTCACCGCATTCCCCCCAGGGAACTCCCCTCAAGCACCACTGCATTGAGCTCCAGAGCTGGGTCTCACATGTGTGCGGGTATTTTGGGGCCAATGAGGTGCACACACGTGTCCACTCCTGGCAGCAGCACTCTCAGCTCCACCAGTGCTTCCGCCTCTTGAGCCTCCCTGTCCGCCCCTGCAGGTACAGTGTGCGGTGAGAGGCATGGTAGGACGCATGGTGAAAGGCATGGTACGAGGCAGTGCGTGGTGAGAGGCAGTGCGAGGTGAGACGCAGTGCGTGGTGAGAGGCAGTGCGTGGTGAGAGGCAGTGCGTGGTGAGAGGCAGTGCGTGGTGTAGTTAGTGCAAGAGTACAAAATGTTTCGCTGCATAAGTAAACATCGGTTTCGTGGTGTAGTTGGTTATCACGTCAGTCTAACACACTGAAGGTCTCCGGTTCAAGTCCGGGCGAAGCCACTTGCGCAAGTTTCTTGTTGGATCTCCTTGGTTGCCATATGTGCCGTGCCATATTGGCTCTCCTGACCAGGGTCATAATCATCCACCTTTCCTGCAAGCTTGGGGCTCCCATCCTTTTCAACACCCTTTCCTCAATCGTCTGACCACATTCCACTCCCCTATTCCCCAAGCAGCTCTTGAGAGGCAAGGGGAATGGTGGATGGGACAAATTTACATGGGGGAGGAAGGGCGAAGGTGACACAGCCGGCAGACACAGAGAAGGCACAGCCAGCAGCACACAGAGAAGGCACAGCCGGCCGGCAGCGCACAGAGTCTGGTGGGGGACGTGGAAGGAAGTGGGGCGGATGGGAAGTAAGCAAGATGATTGTTGGGCATATGTGGCTTAGAAACAGAGGAAGTGGGGGGTTGATGGGCGCAACCATGCATGCCCACCAAGCACACGCAACACATGCATATGCACCAAGCACAGACGCACCAAGCACAGACACACCAAGCACAGACGCACCAAGCACAGACGCACCACGCACAGACGCACCAAGCACGTGGATCCAGAGGGAGGGGCGAGTGGTCAGCCCGCACCCCTGACATTGATGCTGCCACTGCCCATTTGCACATGTTCTCTGCTCCTGTTCCTCTTGTCCTTCCTTCCCCCCTTGCCCCTCCCTCTGCTCCCTCCCAGCTGCAGTGTGAGAAGGCATTTGTCCCGGGCTTGGGGCAAGAGTGGTGGCAGGGAGCGGACGTGGAGGCGGTAGGGTGGGGCGGAGGGGCAGGTGGAGGGTGATGAGGATGGAGAGCGGCTGGTGGGTGAAGGGGGGGAGAGAGGGGGGTTTGTGGGCAAGGGGGCGGATGGGTAAGAGAGTGACTTTTGAGTTAAATTGAAAAGACTGGAGGAGCAGATGGAGGGCAGGAGGATGGTGAGCGGCTGGAAGATGGGGAATGAAAAAAGAGTAAAATTGGGTTGGTGAGGTGAATTCGTGTGCGTTGAGGTGTTAGTGGTGGCAGGAAGGCAAGAGGAGGTGGCGAGGAGGGGTGGAGGGGCAGGTGGAGGGCGAGGAGGATGGTGAGCGGCTCGTTGTGGAGGGGGTGGGGAATGGGGGGCAGATGGATAGGAGGGCGAATTTTGAGTTGAATTGCATGGGCTGGAGGAGCAAGTGGTATGCAAGGAGGAGCGGCTGGAGGAAGGGAGGGAGGGGGGCCACGGGGGAGATTGGGGCGCAAGCAAGGAGTATAGTCGAGCTGGTGAGGTGAATGCGCGTGCAGTGGGGCTTGTGTGGTGCTAGGGAAGGCATGAGGAGGTGGCGAGGAGGGGTGGAGGGGCAGGTGGAGGGCGAGAAGGATGGTGAGCGGCTGGTGACTGCGGGGCAACGGGGCAGATGGGTGAGAGGGGGACAATTGAGTTGAGAGACGCAAGGGGTGTGAGCAGTGGAGAGCAAAGAGGGTAGTGCACGGCTGGTAGGAGTTTTGAAAGGGGTGGGGAAGTTTGGTGGGGTGGGGAGAATGATGAGATGGGGGGTGTGTTGGGTGGGGAGTATGATGAGATGGGGGGTGTGTTGGGTGGGGGGTATGATGAGATGGGGGGTGTGTTGGGGTGGGGAGTATGATGGGATGGGGGGTGTGTTGGGGTGGGGAGTATGATGGGATGGGGGGTGTGGCGGAGATGGTGAATGGATGCTTCGTTGTCATGTCCGTCACGGTTGAAGAACAACGATGTTCTTTGAAGAAAGGCAATGAGAAGGTTCCAAATGATTTATCCTACACACTAGACCATGCTGTACCTTATCCCCATACATTACGCCCATACCTCACGCCCATACCTCATGCCCATACCTCACGCCCATACCTCGCACCCATACCTCACTCACGCCCATACCATGTGCAGCAGCAGCGCAGTGGGCGACTGGAGGGGAAGGCCCCTCCAGAGGTAGTAGTGGCGCCAGGAGAGCGGGGAGAATGGCAGAGGCGGGAGGGAGGGGCGCAGAGTGGGGTGAATGCGGGGAGAATGAGAGGGCGAGGGTGGAGGTGGCGCACTAGTGGCAGGGTGGGTGGGCTCATGGGCTGCTGGGCGGGCGTGGAGCAGGCCGGCCCTTGTGGTCAGGCCGGCCCTTGTGGTCAGGCCGGCCCTTGTGGTCAGGCCGGCCCTTGTGGTCAGGCCGGCCCTTGTGGTCAGGCCGGCCCTTGTGGTCAGGCCGGCCCTTGTGGTCAGGCCGGCCCTTGTGGTCAGGCCGGCCCTTGTGGTCAGGCCGGCCCTTATCAGTGGCGAGTTGAAGCTGAGGAAGGGGTGAGAAGCCTGCCAGGGCAGTGTGGGAGATGAGCATGACGGAAACGAATGTTTGGCGAAGCGAGTATGACTTGGTTGGGGGGGATGCGTTTGGAGAGCAATGGACATGTTCAGGTAATGAACGGAGGGGTAAAGGAAAAACAACGCGGATGGGCTGTGATGTGAACAGTGGGAGACAGGGGAAAAGGGTGGGAGAGTGGAAGAGGGTGAAGCGAATGGGAAAATAGAGAGAATGGGAGAATGGGGGAATGGGAGGGCAGGAATGAAAGGGCGCCTCACGGACCACAGAGGGCAGCATAGAGAAACGGTGAGGTGAGGAGAAAGCACATGGTGAGGTGAGGAGAAAGCACATGGTGTGTCGCCCTTCCTCGCCCTCCTTCCCCCATTGCACATGACAGGCAGAGGGTGGAGAGGGTGGGAGGAGGAGAAGAGTGGGAGGGTGGGAAAGGGAAGGACTGGGAGCCAAAGCGCCTTTCGGACCATCTGCACCCCACGTGAAGAAAACGGGAGGGGAGGAAAGAGCACATGGTGTGACGGCCTTGCTCCACCTGCAGCCCACATTGCAGCACAGCTCGCAGGTGGACCGGCATGGCATGCACCATGGGCGTCACACAGGCAGACCCCACATCCACTCGACACGCACCTCCTGCGGCAGACCAGCGCCCCGCATGCAATACGTAGCAATGCCTAATTTTCACAGGTTGGCTTTCCTAGACGGAATGCGTTTCAGTGCGGTAGATGAGTTGGGTTTCAATGCCTAATTGGGATCTCAGATTGACATTTGATTTGCATGTGCCAGAGATATTCGAATTCAGATCCCTGCTTCCCTAAACCTCAAATTGGCATTTCGACAACGGCGAAATGCTCGCCAAGGAAATCCGCACCTTTTTAGTGATTTTTGTTTTTCGGGCTGCCCTAAAAAATTCTGAAAGCGTATAGCATATTAGGCAGCGTATAGCGTTTTGCGTATAAACGCAAGCGTATAAACGATATACGCTTTAGGGTCTGAGCGTATATGACAGCGCACATGGTATGGGGCATGGGGAACAAGGACAGCGCATGTGGTATGGGGCATGGGGAATAAGGACAGCGCATGTGGTATGGGGCATGGGGAATAAGGCCAGCGCATGTGGTATGGGGCATGGGGAATAAGGACAGCGCATGTGGTATGGGGCATGGGGAATAAGGCCAGCGCATGTGGTATGGGGCATGGGGAATAAGGACAGCGCATGTGGTATGGGGCATGGGGAATCAGGACAGCGCATGTGGTACGGGGCATGGGGAATGAGGACAGCGCACGTGGTACGGGGCATGGGGAATGAGGACAGCGCATGTGGTATGGGGCATGGGGAATCAGGACAGCGCATGTGGTACGGGGCATGGGGAATGAGGACAGCGCACGTGGTACGGGGCATGGGGAATGAGGACAGCGCATGTGGTACGGGGCATGGGGAATGAGGACAGCGCACGTGGCACGGGGCATGGGGAAGAAGGACAGCGCACGTGGTACGGGGCATGGGGAAGAAGGACAGAGCACGTGGTATGGGGCATGGGGAAGAAGGACAGCGCACGTGGTATGGGGCATGGGGAAGAAGGACAGCGCACGTGGCACGGGGCATGGGGAATAAGGACAGCGCACGTGGTATGGGGCATGGGGAATAAGGACAGCGCACGTGGCATGGGGCATGGGGAATAAGGACAGCGCACGTGGTATGGGGCATGGGGAATAAGGACAGCGCACGTGGTACGGGGCATGGGGAATAAGGACAGCGCACGTGGTACGGGGCATGGGGAATAAGGACAGCGCACGTGGTACGGGGCATGGGGAATAAGGACAGCGCACGTGGTACGGGGCATGGGGAATAAGGACAGCGCACGTGGTACGGGGGATGGGGAATAAGGACAGCGCACGTGGTGTGGGGCATGGGGAATAAGGACAGCGCACGTGGTATGGGGCATGGGGAATAAGGACAGCGCATGTGGTATGGGGCATGGGGAATAAGGACAGCGCATGTGGTATGGGGCATGGGGAATAAGGACAGCGCATGTGGTATGGGGCATGGGGAATAAGGGCAGCGCATGTGGTATGGGGCATGGGGAATAAGGCCAGAGCATGTGGTATGGGGCATGGGGAATAAGGGCAGCGCACGTGGTATGGGGCATGGGGAATAAGGACAGCGCACGTGGTATGGGCATGGGGAATAAGGGCAGCGCACGTGGTATGGGGCATGGGGAATAAGGGCAG